GAAAAAACTGTCATAAGCACTTTTTTCAGTGTAATTGTAACTTTGAACAGTCACTAAACAAATGGTTGTAAGTTGGACTTCCGGTTTGAGCTTCTTCGGCGACAGACCGAAACCTCGTCTCTGCGAGGCTTCGATCCGTGCTCGCTGCTGGAGAGCCCCGAGCCGGCTGGTTTCGGGGCTAAGCCACCCCGTAGAGGTGAAGAGGGGGGAGACCGCCAGCTGGGTCGAGGAGAGCCGCATCTCTCCTCTTCAGCTGGCCATTACTCCCTTTCCCGAAGGCAGTTGCAGCGGTGGTCAGAAATGGCCACCACAAAAAAGAACTCAACCGGAAAAGAATGTGCAGGAGGAAGATAAGAAGTGAAAGTTTTGGCTGACCGGGTTAAATTGTAAAAGCAACAACCAAGCTACCCTGGAATTTAAATTTACAAAAAATAACATCGCTCCCAAAGAAGAGTCGGAAGCAGTGAAGGAAAGTGAAACGGGAAAGGTTTGGCTTTTTTTTTCCTTCTCTCTCCTTCCCTATACTGACAACTAAGAGACTTAAATAAGAAATCGGAAAAATCCGCTTTGACATCAATAGGCAATTAAGCTGAAAATAAAACAAAATGCCAAAGGGATAATAAAGATTTCTGGACATTAAAAACTTTCTTTTTCATAAGCAGGAAGGGAGAGAAAAAGAATAAGGGCAGGATCTGGAAGAGGGAGGAGACTGACTGGAATTAAAAAGAATCTAAAGTAAAACTTCAACAAGACTTCTAAAAGATACATTTTAACTGAAACTTTGCAACTAAATAGTAACCCCAGGAAGAGAAAGTGAAAAAAAAGAGCAAAAAAGAAACAGCTTGCGTGTATTTGGATTATTTGGTGATCTTTGGATTTTTGGTTATTATATTTGAATGACTAAAATCAATCAGGTGGTTGTTTAAAAAGTTATACAATGGCACCACTTCTGGATGAATTGAAAATGGAACTTAAAAAGTACAAAGAAGATGCACAAGAAGGGAAGGGTTATTTTGGCTTCGTTTTTCAATTCTTAGAAATGGAGATTTGGAACTATGAGAAACAACAAGAAAAGACTGCAAAACAAGAAGACTGGGACAAAGAAGAAGCCATCTTTAATGAACAAGTAATTCTATGTGGGGAAGAAAAAGGAAAGGGGGGAAAGAGAATGGAGAATTTAAGACTTAAAAAAACAACCAAAGAAAAGAAAAATAATTCGAAAAATAAGTATAATACTGGAAAGCAACAGAAAAGGGGAATACAGAAGAGAGAAATAGAGGTAGAGAGACAAGGGGGTAAAAAGGGGAGAGAGAAGAAGAGAGGGAAGAAGGAAAGGAAAAGAAGTTACAAAGGACCGGAGCAAGATATAGAGAAACAGGGCCTATTTAGAGATAATGGGTGAAAATCTAACTGAAAAGGGGATTCTGTAAAGGTACATAAGATTGTATTGTTATATTAGTAATAGATGAATGAAAATCTAACTGAAAAGGGGATTCTGTAAAGGTACATAAGATTGTATTGTTATATTAGTAATAGAAATAACTTTAGAAAATTGGAAACAACGTATGATTAAAATGAGGGATAAAATAGTTAGTGTACTTTAGTGAAATGTTTCTGAATAAAATAAGTGAAATAAAATAAAGAAAGAAAGAAAATTGAATTAGGAAGGAACCGGAACATTTTAATTAGTTAATGTTTTATAAAATATAAGAGAAGAGGGGAGGAATTAACTATGGAAAGCTTATAATTGTTCCCATAGAAGTATGATATTTAATTGAAAAGTAATGTTAAAGATGTTAAGACTTTAATGGATATTAATATTAATGATAGAATTGACTTGGAATGGAATGTTGTTTTAATTATATACATTTATAATTTTTTTCTTTTTTTAAGAATACAGTGTGTATTTTAAGAATGTACAAGCAGAATCCGAATGGAAGTTATGTATTATATTGAATGTTACAACTTTAGGGAAAAGATATAAAGGCGTCATACTCCAATCAGTAATTACAGGAGAAATTTTGTTTAATGAGAAAAGATAATAGATAATTGAAACAGGACAGACAAAAAATATAAATACAATGATTTGAATTGAGATGAGATAACTAAAATAAAATTGAGAAAATTAAAAGAGGGGAGAAGCTATGCAGAAAATGTAAAATAGTAATAAGATATGGAATAGAATATAAAAATGAGCATGAACCTGAATTTGTGTCTGTACGAAGAAATGTAACCCGGGATTACGCTGCTTTCAAAAAAGATGTTTTATTTGTATTTTTTTTTCTCTTTGTGAAAACTCAAATAAAATTTACAAAAAACAACAAATGGTTGTAAGTTGAGGACTACTGTATACTTTTAAAATAACTTACTACTGTAATGGGGACACAGTGGCTCAGTGATTATGATCCTGAGCTTGTCGATCAGAAGGTCAGAAGTTCAGTGGTTCGAATCTCTAGTGGCGTGTAATGGAGTGAGCTCCATTACTTGTCCCAGCTTCTGCCAACCTAACAGTTCAAAAGCACATGAAAAATACAAGTAGAAAAATAGGGAGCACTTTGGTGGGAAGGTAACAGTGCTCTGTGCGCCCTCAGCATTAAGTCATGCCAGCCACATGACCATGGAGACGTCTTGGGACAGCGCTGGCTCTTCAGCTTAGAAACGGAGATGAGTACCACTCCCTAGAGCCGGAAACGACTAGCACACATGTGCGGGGGAATTTTACCTTTACTATTGTAATGCTACATTCGGTTCATCATATCAGCAAGACCAAAGTATTCCACAAATATTTTGTTTGAAACTAATGCCACCTGAAATCTTGTTTTAGATTGCCCCATATTAAGTTTTTCTGCCTGTATTTTGTCCAAAACATTTAATCCCACTATGACAGGGGTATCATACTCAAGGCCTTTGGGCCAGATCTGGCCCATGAGGCGGTTAGATCTGGCCCGCAGGACCGCTCTGGAAACAGCAGAGGACCTGCCTGCAATGCCTCTGCCAATAAAAACAGAGCTCAGAAGGGCCAGGTGCGGCTCTCCCTAGCTCCGTTTTTGGCTGTGACTGCTTCCTGTAGCCCTCTGCCAGCAAAAATGGAACTCCCATGACAAAGCTTGCCACACCCAGCCCAGCCCTCCAAGGTCAAACACAACCCTCATGCGGCCCTCAATGAAATAGTTTGACACCCACCAGCACTAGGAGCTCAATATCTATAATTCATTAAGTACACAGTGCCTTGCGTGAATGAAATTATTCAGTGAGGCAAGATAGAGAATCCTGGTATCTAATATTTAGGGCACTTTCACCTTAAAGTCTCATATAAAAATACACCAAATTATGACCTGGATTTTGTCTAAATCAAATTGCCTCTTATGACAAGCGGTAGGACTTGATCTCATATCCATTTCCAATAATAGTACCATGAATATGCAATCCTTTTCTTCCAAGGGAGACTCTTCTAAAGAGATTAAGAGGCAGAAGGGTCAGAAAGAAGATAAAAGAAAAAAACTTGTTGAGTAAGGAAGAAACTACTCAGACAATACTGTATGTTATCCGGGCCAAGCAATTCTTTATAGTGAGATTATCAAAGTGGAGTTCCTTCCCTTTTTTTCACCTTCAACCCATAATCCCTGACCCATTCAAAATTGTATGATAACTAATAAGCAGCCTTGAAAAATAGTCATTTACCTCTTTCTTTTCTCTGAACTTGTCAATCTCCTTTTTGAGCCAATTAACTTTCTTAAAAGATTCCAGACTATTTACAGCATACACTAGAACAAAGCCATCTGCCATAGAATAATAATGTTTGGGGAAATCTTCGTCTCCTTGCAGTCCTTGGGTGTCATACAGGCGTAATTGTTCTTTTAGTCCTCGATCTGTTTCAGCCATAGCGACATATACATCTTCCATAGTTCTGCTGCACTCTTCACCTGTTTTTATTTAAAATAAAGAGCAACGATTTCTTGGGGGACATAACATAAAATTCATTTATGTTTTCCACAAGCCAGCTTGGTTCAGGAAAATGCATATAAGGGATATCTAATTGTTCTTGAGAACTTAGTTTGCCTTTTGTGAAAAAAAGTAATTGACCAATGCAAATATGTTATATGGATCATTTTACATCTATTCCAATCTGGCAGAATTTATTAACTACTAAAGTGGCAGTTATAACATTATTTACACAACTATAAAAAAAATTAGGCATCTTTCTTACCAATAGTGTGATTACCGTACAGAACTTGTTCCAAGATGGCCGTCTTTCCCACTGAACACATTCCACAAACCAACACTTTGAAGCCTTTTCCCATTTTCTTTCAGACTACTACCGGTAGAAATCCAAAACCTATAGGCCACCCAGAATGGTAATTGTTTTTGTCATTTCATAGATTGTTTAAAGATAAAAGTATGCTATTGCTACAATATATAACTGAAGTGAGTGGCAATCACTTTTAAAATTACAGGACAACACTCCTAAGAACTTAAGATGTATTCATATTTCTGGAGTGTCGAGCAAAAGGCTTCTAGAACATTTTTATTTTCAAAAATAAGTTCATTTGCATCAAGTTAATGAAACTGAAATACTTTTTTCTAAAAGAACAACAAATAAAGCGATTTTAAATATGAAAGAATTATTCTATATTCGAATTTCTTTAACACAACCAGCTTCGAATTCTGGAGTAAAATTGAAAATTAATTTAAAATAAGAACTCAGTCATGACCTTCCCATTTCATAGATCGTACGAAATAAACAGTCAAGGTGAAAGCGTATCTCTAAAGCACTCTATCATTAGTAATAATGAAAACAATCCCAAAATGTCGTTAAGGAGAATATTTTCTAGGATAATTTGCTTGCCTAGACGGTTTTAAATGAACATAACTTGCAGAGCCGCTAGCCAAAAGTCATAGGGAGAAATTCCATCTCACATCATGAAAGTCCACGCTCTTATAACATGTGTTCCCTATGAACTACATTTCCCAGCAAGCACCTGACCACCGAGTATTTCCTGCCCTCCTCTGTTGCAAAGCATTTTGGGAGAGAGGCCTCTTTCTTTCCGGCTTCGAGTGCTGTCTGGTAAGGTTTCTTGGGTTCTTTCTGCGGACGATGTATCCATTGTCATCCTGCAGTCTGGAGGCTTTTTGCACTCGTTTGGTGCAGATTCTTATGGATCGAGGCTCGGGGAGAGAGGATGATTATGTTTTGGCAGCTGTGGAACAAAAGAAGGGTTTAGGATCTTGTTTGGCCGAATGGCGTCTTGGGCCTTATGTTACCGGGCGAAATGGCCGGGTGAAAAAAAGATGGAAGGATGAGAATGGAAACGAAAAGAATCGTTGAAATTCTGGGTTCCTTTTGGCATCGGGTCTTTTTTTACGGCTCAGAATTATGGTGAAAATCGAACGATGGCACTCATGCCGTCTTTCCTCAGTGCAAACCTCTTGGGGGAAGGAGCTCTGAGGAAGTAGAGCAGATTTATTTATTTATCACACACATACAGGTCTTCCTCTTATTGTGTCCACAACAACCCTGTGAAGTGGTTTGGGCTAATTAATAGAGAGTGATTGGGCCAAAGTCACCCAACTGACTTTAATAGCGAAGGTGGGATTTGAGCTGAAAGTTTCATGCTTTCTAGCCTGGTGCCTTAACCACTAGGCTCTCCTGCGCGAACCTCAGTTCTACTCTGATTTTCTATTCAAATCCGATTGATAATCAAAAGGAGGGGACTGCTGTGAGAGTCAGTCAGAATAAAAAATAGAATTGAAATAGAAAATAAAGAATCACTCCCAAATTGGCAAGCTTGTTTTAAGGCTTTCTTTTTTAAATAGTAAATGATGTAAAATATTCCTGCTTTCAATCTTTAGGTAGTTGCTTATCCAAGTTCATTGGATTGGTACAAAGGAACAACCTGTTTTTGACTAAAGCTAAAACCTGTAAAATTTAAGGAAAAAATACTACCTAATATTGATAAAAACATACTTCTGAATATGAAGCACATATTCACACATAGTTTTGGGTGTATGGTGTATATATAGTAAGCAATAATTGTATCATGGTCATCTGGCTTCAGAAGCTGATTGAAGGAAGCAAAAGTTATGCTCTTTGTGAAACGTGTGAGACTGAAGTTAAAATTGCTTTTATGAGTATGTGCCTTCTTACTGGCACATTAGCAGAAAAAAGCCTGAATAATGGCATATTTTTAATGGATTACTTACTGTCAGTTTTAGGGAGTTTATTTTCATATACTGGAGAGCCTTCTTTTAAAAGAATCCCTTTTATATACCTGTTATTAAAGAAACATGATGTAACATAATTCTGCATTTTCTTTACTAGGTAAGTCATAATGGGTGCCTACAAGTATATCCAAGAACTATGGAGAAAGAAGCAATCTGATGTGATGCGTTTCCTTCTGCGTGTCCGTTGCTGGCAATATCGTCAGTTATCGGCACTTCATCGAGCTCCTCGTCCAACCAGACCAGACAAAGCCCGCAGGCTGGGATATAAAGCTAAGCAAGGTAATAGGAATATTTAAAAAGGTTTTTTGTATGTTTGATTGCATGCTTATTACATGTATGGAGAAAAAACTGATCTGATATACTGCTCACTATAGGAATTATTATAATAATTAACTGGAACGTAGCTATATGCCCAAAGAGGATAAACTGCAGAAAACATCTGACAAGTCAATTTGATAGAAACAATTCTTACATAAGGTAGCAAATCTTAACAATTCTCTTTGTCCATATTATGTGAATCTAATTTCTGCCATTTTTTGTTGCTGTAAAATTATCATCTCAGTTTAACAAAATGGGCATATGTGGATCAAAAATACAGAATAGCCAGGTAGCTTGGACAGAAGTTATAGAATAGAATAGAATAGTTGGAAGGGACCGTGGAGATCTTCAGGTCCAACTCTTTGCTTAGGCAGGAAACCTGATACAATTTCAGACAAATGGTTGTCCAATCTCTTAAGAATGTCCAGTGTTGGAGCATTCAGAGCTTCTGGAGGCAAGTTCTACATTGTTTTAACTGTCCTTAGTTCTAGGTTGCTTCTTTACTTGATTAGCTTCCACCCATTGCTTCTTGTCCTGCCCTTGGATGCTTTGAAGAATAGCTTTACTGCCTCTTTATGGCAACCCCTGAGATGTCAGAACACTGCTATCATGTCACACACACCCCAGTCCTTATATTCATTAAACAAAAAGACTAGGAGTGACATGATAGTAGTTAAATGCTATTTGTTTCTGTTGTAGGTTATGTCATCTATCGCATCCGAGTTCGTCGTGGTGGTCGTAAACGTCCAGTTCCTAAGGGTGCTACTTATGGAAAGCCTGTGCATCATGGTGTGAACCAGTTAAAATTTGCCCGGAGTCTGCAATCCGTAGCAGAAGTAAGGAAATCTTGAGAAGAACCTTCAGACATTTTATTATAGCATAATAGATTATAAAATTATAAATTACACTATGGTAATATTACAATATAATTTTGTCCAACATGTATTAAACTAATAAGTTTAATGAAAATATTCCTCACCAAGTAATAGTGATCCTGTAGTGTTTCTATTATTAGATGGAATGTGTATTTTATTTATAAACAATGCTATGTTAAGTAACTGTATGATCTTCACTTACATGAGGACATTATTTCTGTGTAAATATAACTGGATCTATAGAGCAGTACAGAAACAATTGGAAATAAGATTACAAACATTTAATTCTTGATGGATTGAATTAGATTTTAAGGATTATCTATTTTTTTGGGAGACATAGTTAAATTCAAATGCTATATTATCATAGCTCACATAGGAACTCCACTTTTGCCATTCAAATGTTATTACTTTTCATGGTATATTCATGAAAATTTTCATACAGAAAAGAGTGCTGGTAATGCAGAGTACTGGCTCATGGGGAAACCAATGTGTTTTGAATTATACAGAAAACCACATCAAGCCAAATGAATGTTTGCAGGAGGCTGACATTTGAGCAGCATTGATTGGGAATAATAGTTTACTAGTGCAAATAGCTAATATCTGAGTAAAGCAACTATTCAAAGCAATATTTGTGGAGCCAAATATCCAGAGCTGGGAAAATATGAGAATGGCCACTGGCCAAAATGAAATACTTACATGTAAAGAAAGGGAATATTAAATTACTTGTATATACTTTAGTGTTTATATACTCTTATTTCTTTTCCATCATGTTTCTCAGTCTGATTTCATTTGCATAACATATAGGTATAGATACATATTTAAACTATTTCATTTTCTAGGAGCGTGCTGGCCGACACTGTGGAGCTCTGAGAGTGCTGAATTCTTACTGGGTGGGTGAGGATTCCACATACAAATTCTTCGAGGTCATTCTGATTGATCCATTCCACAAAGCAATCAGGCGCAATCCAGATACCCAATGGATCACCAAACCAGTTCACAAACACAGAGAGATGCGTGGGCTGACCTCTGCTGGCAGGAAGAGCCGTGGCCTTGGCAAGGGCCACAAGTTCCATCACACTATTGGTGGATCACGCCGTGCTGCCTGGAGACGACATAACACTTTGCAGCTTCATCGTTATCGCTGATCCTTTTTATTTTAAATTTATCATAATAAAAAGCCATCCAGTGGTTTTACATTTCCGTTGTTTTGTGTGGTCATTGAGAAGAAATTGGTATAAAAAGTTGAATTAAAGGATTCTCAGTGCAGCTTCTCATCTATAAACATGTGACTAGAATATGCAGCAGAAACTCATTTTTATTTATCTTAATAATCCAAATTATTTTGATTCTAAATTTTGAAAAAAAGTTAAAAATAAAATCTGTACCAGAACTGGAAAAGAAATGCTATTTAAGCAAATACCAAATTTTGGAATTTAGTTTAAAATTATTCCAAAAGTGATTTAATGAAGATTTATATAAATTTATTAGAGGTTGGACTCTATTTTGTAATCATAATTTATATTAATTGTGATACATCTTCAGGAAATAAATGATTGGATATGCTATGTTGACATGCTATTTTGTTAGTTGTAAGTAAACGTAAAAAATGGTTAGTCAAAAGTTTCATAATGAGCCATGTTTAAAATAAGACTGAATGATTACTTGTTCCTAAACCAATAATTCCTGTTTAGACTTTCATAGTCATAGTTGCAATCAGAAAATGGTGAATCCCTTTAAATACAGGTAGTCCTCAACTTACGGCCACAATTGAGCCCAACATTTCTGTTGTTAAGCAAGACATTTGTTAAGTTAAATTCATCCCATTTTATGATCTTTCTTGCCACACTTAAGTCAACCACTGCAGCCGTTAAATTGGTAATATCATTAAGTGAATCTAGCTTCCCCATTGACTTCCAGAAGGACGCAAAAAGTGATGACCCCAGGACACAGCAACTATAAATATGAGTCAGTTGCCAAGCATCTGAATTTGATCACGTGATCATGGGGATACTTTAATGGTTGTAAGTGAAAAAACGGTCAGCTTTTTTCAGGGCTGTTGTAACTAAACGGTCATTAAATGAACTGTTAAGTCAAGGACTACCTTTATTGCAGGTTTTTTTGTTAAGTAGCTTGCTATATAGGGGCCTTCCCTGAGCTCAGTCACATAACTCCCATTATTTCCAGATAAAATTGTTCACCTAATTCCAAACAAATCTAAAAACCATATTCTATTGAGAAATGAGAAGGAGCTGAGCTTTTCCATCTATTTGAATGGAGAACAAAATGAACAGTTATTAAATAATACCTAAAAGGCATAGCTTGTACAGAGACCATCCTGTACTTTCTAGCTGTCCCAACATACACAAAAGCAGCAAATTACTTGGTTACATAGAAAACAAATCTCATTGTTATAAAGGAGTTGAGCAAATATCTTATTTCTAAGCTCTACTGCCTCTGCATGCTGAGGTAAGTAGTTTATAAATTAAAGCATAAAACTGCACAAATACTCTAATTAAACATTACACTTCTCTACCAATCTATTCCCTGTAAAGTTTTCTTTTTCTTCAGCAAACCTACAATTTAGGTTTTGATAGAAAAGCTTTTAATGCAAATTAGGATTTCACATTGTACAAAATTATGTATTCTAGCTTCAATTATATTTTCAGGATTACAAGTTTTATATAGTTTATATTTTTATAACATACAAAAATACATCTTAATCTGACAGTTATAATAAACATGAACCTATAGCTTCTAGAATTTATTAATTTGCCATGCTGAATTCCACTAGTATTAAGGTAAAATAATATTGGGAAATTATCCTTTTATACTAAATTCATTGGGTCTTTATTGATTGGGTAACAGATTGTATTCTTATTTTATGAAAATGCAAAACAATTCAGTTGCACCAATTTAGGAAACATTTCCATTGCTTGAAAACTAAGGAAGTTTATATTTAGAGGAAAAATGTTTCGCATCCAAGACTAATAAAATTATTAAAAACTGCACAATGGGAGAAAAAGATATATCCAACTGTATAGTCTGCCTGGCATTCTGACATTCTGTTTAAAATATATTTTCCTACATTCTTCATTATTAAAAAATCAATTTTTCTTTTATGCAGAAAACACTAGCCAATGCTGCTATGCTGACATCTATAAGCTGCCCAAGCTTTCATTAAGTATTTCTAATGAATCAAAAATTTTAATCTTGTTGAATGCCTGATAAAATTAATACAATCAAAATATTTTAGTGAAGAGCTGAACAGCATGACGGACATGCCCAATTTTTAGTCAATTGCAGAGATCCTTCTACCTGATTATTCTCATCAGTTAAGGTTCAACTTTATATAATAAAAATAAATTATAACTTAAAATTTGGTAGTATACAATGGATCAGTTTTTTTCAGTGTATAACAACTTCCAAAATAATTCAAATAACTAGCTAATGTTAAGATAAACTTTTATCCCTCATTTGTTTAAGTTACTATTCTTGATATACTGGCAATATAGCAAGCCACAAAAGTACCCAAGAATCATGAATCCCAGAATATACTCCCAGTTCAAACTGCTGAAAACAGCAATCTTTATTTTTATGAGGTAGAGTTTTCTTGTAATTTTCTTGTCTTGAAAAGTATCTATTGTGTACATAAAAACAAAATCCTCTCCAAACATCAAACTTAGTACTTATGTTGATCAGTACTTTTACAAGGCCTGCAAGCCATGGCTTGCAAAATGTAATGGCTGAGTTCACACATGCTATAATTCAAAAACAAAGTACATTTTGATCTAATGTAATAGTAACCATGTCCATCTGTTTCATATGTTTCATTTACATTTCCAAGCATAGTGACAACATGCAGTGAAATGTAAAGTGTTAAATCACCTTTGATAAGTATGCTTATATTTGAAGTTAGTGATAAATTTCCAGATTGCCAACCAAAAGGGAATGAAATGGACTATGGTGTGCAGATCTTGTTGGTAAAGCATTTTTCTCCTGAACTGTTTTACATTACACAACAATGAAGACCAAGTATCAGTTGACAAGACAAATAGCTTTTAAACTTGTCACAGTTTACCTTTAATTTAATTCAATTGGCAATATGTCTTCATTTGGATTTTAAGAAAAAAAATAGGGACATACAAAACTGAACTACTGTCTCCTAGAATTTATGAGAATATATGAGAAATTTCCATTTTTCTTCTGGAATGTGTAGATTCACATCTGGAGAACAGTCAAATCAGTGAATTTTGAACACAACTAAAAATACAAATATCATTTGTAAATATATTAATGAAATGATTGCCTTAGTAAAATGTCTTACATTACTTAATAATACTAATCCTACTCTATTTGAGCTGTGATGATACTTATGTTTATAAATGAATATAAATGATATGTTGTAGAACTTATTGTCAAATCTGATTTCTGCTAACTTGTTTAGAAGTTGGCATACCTTTTTTTTTTTAAGGAGTCTAAATCTTTAAAATCTTTGTTAATTTTTAAAAATAGAACTCAGCAATGTTAGCAAGAATTTAATGAATTGCAATTCTAATTCTGTTCTATTGGATCGGTTTGGAGAAATATAATTGTTTTAGACATATTAATACTTTGGCTAAACCAACACTTGATATTATTAGTCACACATGAAAAACTGATAAGAAAATTATATAATTTCCTACTAAGCTTTAAAATGGAAGGTGAACAAGTAAAAGAAACAATGATAGTTTGGGCAAAATTTTTTGACTATACTATAGAACTAGATAAATGGCAAAAACTTTGGGACAGAAATTACAAACTGACAATGGCTATTGCAAATAAGGAAAATCTTTATGAAATGTTTCACCGGTGGCACTTGCCACCAAGAAGATTAGCAAAAATGTTTAACAACATGTCCACCAAATTTTGGAAATGTAATCAGATTCCAGATATCTATTATCATATGTATTATCATATATGGTAGACATGTATAAAAGCAAGAAAATGTTGGATGAAAATACATACATGGTTGGAAAAGATAATAAAGCAGCATATAGATTTAAAGCCAGAAATATTTTTGTTAGTTATAATATCAGAAAGCTATGATAAAGGGACTATATACTTAATGCTACATATATTGACAGTAGCAAGAATTGTATTTGAACAATATTGGAAAAATGAGAAGACACCACTAGATGAAAATATAATTTGGAAAATATTGGACGAAGCAAAGGTAGATAGATTGATATTGAAAATAAAAGATAAAGGAGATACAGAGTACTATTCAACATGGAATAGGCTTTATCAAGAGATAAGAGGTAGAAATTAGATTATCATTGTTATCTGTAAGTAAAATATGAATGTCATTCATATATATAAGTATGCCAGTATAATTAATAGGATCATAAATAAGTTAATATAATTATAAATATGGTTGTAATTATTAAGTATTATAACTATCAGTAAATCTGGGTTGTTGTTTTTTTCTTCCTTTGTAAAATGAAATGCCCCGACAATATACTGTATTCAAAATACTTATATATAAATAAAAACTTGACAAAAATACTTTGACTAAACATAAATATGTTTGGTATTGAATTAATAATGCATCAGTCCATGATGACTTTTATTCAGTTATTTGGATTAGGAAGATTTATTTTCAGTTACTGTGTATATACAGTTTAATTCACATATAGGTCATCCTCAACTAATGACTACAAAATGAGTCCAAAATTTATATTGCTAAGCAAGATAATTGTTGTCAATTTTACCCCACTTTATGACCTTTTAACATCTATTGTTACAGAATCAATCAGCAATGTTAATATAATACACAGCAGGGGTGGGCTAGTGGGGGCTCGCAGGGGCTCGGGCTATTCCCTAGCTAAGACTCTGTGGGGCTCGGTGAGCCCCCAAATTCCACTCCAGGATGGCTCTGCCACGGTCACCGGAGCCTTAGCGCAGGAGTGAAGCGACCCTGTACTTGCCCTTAGCGCCACATTTGCACTCAAGGCAGCCCTTACCTCCTACTACGCAAGGGAGGGGGGAGGAGAGAGATGAGAGAGGGAAAAGAGAATTCTCCCCTTTTCTCTCTCTCTCTCTCTTTCATGTGCGCGCGCGCACACACAAGCAGGATACCCTCCTGGGCCGGGATCACAGCAGCAGCAACGGTGACAACTCCTCCTGCTGCCACCACTGCGTGCTCACGTGAGTAGCCGGCCA